TTTATTTGTCAAAAACATAAAATCGCATTTATTTTTAAATATTAATAACAGTTTATTTTTAGCATAATCATATTTAGTATTGATTTGATGAAAATGAATTAATTCAAGTTTTATTAAAATGTTTTAATTTAAAGCATGTCAAAACNTATTAATAACAGTTTATTTTTAGCATAATCATATTTAGTATTGATTTGATGAAAATGAATTAATTCAAGTTTTATTAAAATGTTTTAATTTAAAGCATGTCAAAACAGAAAACAGACAATTACATATTAAACATATTTGCCACATTTGTACAAGTTTTTAATTGAATTGATTTTGCTAATTCTATTTAAATAAAATATTGATATAAAACATAAAACATTCTTGAAAATATAGTTACATTTTTTACAAATTAAAATCAATAAAAGTTAAATAAAAACTTTAATAACAAAAATTTACAAACTATTATTTAAATGTTGTTTTCTTATAATTTTAAAAACAAACAAAAGAATTCCTATATACCATGTCAAAAACTATAAAAAAATGTTAAAAAACAGTGAAAGCAATTTAACTCTTACATCAAACACCGATTTTTTAGTAACCAGTCCAATTGGACCAAAATGAGCTCCAACTTTTTGTTTCTTTGAATGCACTAACTGATAATAATTGGCCAGTTTTAATTTTTGATAGATAGACAATATGTTATTTTCGCAATTTTTGTTGTTTATTTGCAATACTTGAATTCGGTAAAGTATAGGTGCTGAACTAATTAGACAATTGCAAATAGTTGAACCGGCGCGAGCAAACGACAACATACCCATCCATTGACTGATAACATAATAAACCAAAAGCAAACGTAACCAAAATGAATTTTCCAAAAAATGAAATCCTAGCATTCGATAAAAAAGTTGAGCAGACATGTGCACGTTAAGAGGAAAATGAAAGAAAAAACTTAAAAATACTAATTTTGATCCAAAAACTTTATCAAGATGATTAATTGATTTAGTTAAACTGCAATGTTCTTGACAAAAAAAATTTGCAATTAAATCTGCTGAAAAATTTGTCAATATTTTAAATGATTGTTGATTTTTTGTATTATTTGTTTTTAAAAATGTGTTTTTTAAAAGCTTATTTATGTAATTTGTATGTTTCAAAATGATAAATACATGTAAAAGTTGTAATTGACTAAATAATAAAAAAGTATTAAAACTTTTGTATATCAAGAAAAATCCAATGCCTAATTCAACTGGTACAAAAACTGATAAACGGAATTGAAAAAACAGCAAAATTTTTGCTGAATAAAAATTAGTCCAAATTTGTTTAGTCCAAATAAAAATGTACGGAAACCACACAACTACTGAGTGTTAATAAAAGCATATTTTTATTAAAAATAACAGGTTTTATTTAATATGTATTGTATTATTTTACTTACTGAATGTTATATAAACTCCCAAACCCACATATTCTAATAAAATTGAATAAAATGTTGCTTTAATAAATGTTTTAGAGTTAAGACATAAAGAACATGTTGAATAGTTATTTTTAAGTTGTTTTTGATTTTTATTTAGAGAAAACAATCCTTTGCAATATAGAAAACGCATCAATTCAACCCATTTTTTAAAAGTTTTAACAGGTGTTTTAACAAAATTTGATAAAAACAAGTTATTTAAAAAAATTTTAAGTTTACAAATTAACCACTGACGGTACTCATTGTCTACTATAACCGCATAATGAAGCGCCAATATTTTTTTATCAAGACAAAATGTTGAAAAGTATTCCAAAAGAGCACTGAACAATATAATTGCCAAACAAAATGAAACAATTGTGTAAGGAAATGCAAAAAAATCTATATATAAACATGGTGAAACTACAATTGGGTCGTAGAGCCCATAGTTTTTAAAATCAAAATTAAAAAAAGGATTATATTGAAGATAACCTGCAAACAACGTTCGAACAAAGTAAAATCCACAATAAAAATAGTTAAACAAATGTTTTAGTATTAATAAATTATATTGTCGTTGGTGTTGAGGGTAACTGGAAATTGATATAAATTGTGCCAACAAAATTTTTTGAACAACGTTGTGACTTAAAAACAGCCGTTTATACTCAGTTATTACAAAAGAAATAAACAAATTGAAAAAATACTTTTGAACAAAATTAGCTAAACGATTTATAAAACTCATTATTATTTCAAACTGTTTTTATTTAAAATGTTTTTATATTATTTAATATTAAAATAATTTTATGATTTTAAATTTTATTTATAATGTTAAGTTTGCTTTGTGGCTAATTAAAATATTTAAATGATTACATATTTACTTTTTGAATAAACTAAAGTTTTTTGTAATTTTAACATTTTGTTGATATTTGTTTGAAATGACATTTTAAGTTACAAAAATCTATTTTAAATAAATAATAAAAATATCTAGAGTAGCGGCCGCAAAACCGTTGGTGACGTGGCTTTGCTCACGCAAAGTTTGAAACTTCTGTAAATGCTTTATAAGCTGCTTCCTTCACCATTAAAATTCCGTCTAAACTACGTTATGATTGTAAATCTTTCTGAGCGCCACGTTACTAACTTCTAATTTTATTAAATTCTACACGAAAACATTTTTTTTAATCTTTTCTTTTCTCTTAATCACTTAATAGGCGGGTTAGGTTTTAAAAATTCAATTTTTTGTTGATGTTTAGCATTTTGCTTGGACTACATTTTGTTTATTTTTGAAGATTTGTTTATATATTTTTAATAATGTATGTTAATTTTAAAAAAAATTTTAAAAACAATTACAAATTGTCATTTTAATGTTGTTTTCTTAGAATTTTAAAAAAGTACAAAAGGATTCCTAAATACAACGTCAGAAACTTTTAAAAATATATTAGAAAAACGCTAAAAACATAAAAACTCTTACATCAAACACAGATTTTTTAGTAACAAGTCCAATTGGCCCAAAATGAACTCCAACTTTTTGTTTTTTTGAATGCACTAACTGGTAATAATTGGCCAGTTTTAATTTTTGATATGTTGACAGTACGTTATCATTGTTATTACTTGTTCCCATCTGCAGTACTTGAATACGGTAAAGAACTGGTGCCGAACTAGCTAGGCAATTGCAAATAATTGAACCAGCTCGAGCAAACGACAACATTCCCATCCACTGACTGATAACAAAGTTAAATAAAAGTAGTCTCAATTGAAATGAATTTTGCAAATAATGAAAACCAAGCAGTTTAAAAAATAGTTGAGCAGACATGTGTATGTTAAGTGGAACATGAGTAAAGAAAGAAAGAAAAGAAAGTTTTGCTGAAACAGTTTTGTCAATGTAGTCAATCAATCTAATTAAACAGCAGTGTTCTTTATAAAAAAAATTGGTAGTTAAGCCAGTTGAATGAGGCACTAATACTTTGTCATTTATTTTGTTTTTTATTTTAAATAACTTATGTGGGCAGGACTTAAAACGTAAGCACGTCCTACATTTCTGAAAAATTTTATCTTTTTTATTAAAAAATGTTGTTTTTAAAAGTTTATTAATATATTGAGTATGTTTGTTAAAAATAAAAACATTTAAATATTGGAGTTGAATAAGAAACAAAAAGTTGCTGATAACTTGTTTGCAAGCAAAAAATCCAATAATTAGTTCAACAGGCACAAAAATAGCTAAACGCAATTGAAAAAACAGAGAAAGCTGTTTGGAATAAAAATGAGTCAAAATTTCTTTAGTCCAGATAAAAACGCATGGTAAAAAAACAATTACTTGAAGCAAAATTAAAAAATTATTTTAAAACAAAGTTATTTTGTGATATGATAAACTTTTTACTTACTGAATGCAATTTTTGCTCCCAAACCGCCAATTTCTAAAATTATCGTATAATAAGTAGCTTTGATATATGTTTTAGCATTAAGACAAGGATAAAATGTTGAATAATAGTTAGTAGTATGATGTTTTTGGTTTTTATTTAAATAAATTAATCCATTCGAAATAAAAGAACGTTTAAATTTAATAATTTTGTTAAAAGTTTCAACAGGCGTTTTAATCAGTTTTAAAAACGAGCAGTTTCTTAAAAAGTCAACAGTTTTAGAAATCAACAATTGCCGGTAGTCATTGCTTACTGTCACAGCATAAGGAATCTCCATTATTTGCTTATTTAAACAAAATGTTGAAACATACTCTAAAAATGCAGAGTAAATTGTAGATGCTAGACCAAATGAAAAAGTTGTGTAAGGAAATGCAAAATAATCTACAAATAAACAAAGCCAAACAAAAAAAGGATCCCAAAGTCCATACTTTTTTAAATCAAATTGAGGCAGTTGATGATATTGAAGGTGACTTACAAAAAATGTTCGAACAAAATAAAAACCACAATAAAAATAAAAAATAAATTGCTTAAACAATAATAAATTGTATTGAAATTGTTGTCTAGAGTAGCCGAAATTTGATATAGTTTGTGACAAAAAAATTTTTTGAACAATGTTGTGACTAAAAAATAGTTGTTTATACTCATTTATTGTAAATGAAATCAACAAAAAGTAAAAGTTCTTTAAGATAGAGTTAACTCGACCAATTATAAAACTCATATTTTTGATTTAACAGTTTTTACTTCATTTGCCTTAAAAAAGACTTTGTATTTTAAAGTTTAGTTCCATATGTAAAGTTTGCCGTTTTGTTTGTTTGTGTTTTTAAAATACATATTTAAACTTAGATATGACTTAAATTACTTGTAATTTTTGCATAATGTTTATGTTTATTAAATATGACATTTTCACTTACGTTTAAGCAATTTTTGTATAAGTAAAAAATTGTAAAAAAATAATTAACAAATTTTTAAACATTTTAAACTAACTTTAAGAATTAAAAATGTTTACTAAAATGAAAAACATTTCAAAACATAATAAAAAGCAAATCATCAAATAAATTGACAAAATCACAAAAACATGTAATTTGAAAATAATTCAACTCAATAACCTTTTTTTCTAGAACAGTTGTAACAGTTTTATTAAAATTTACACATTTTTATGCGTATCAGTTAACATTAAGCATCCGCTTGACCGCCATGACCACATCCTCTGCCACCGGCAGAGCATTCGCCTCCAGCGACTTGGCGTAAGGCATTGGAACATCAGCACCCGTCACTCGAATCACCGGCGCGTCGAGGTAATCAAAGACCGGACCTAGTATTATGTAGGATTGATGGTAGGTAAACGATATGTCATTGGTTAATAAATAAACAAAAAACCCAGCAGTACTCACTCTCAATAACTCTGGCGCAAATCTCCGCGCCGACGCCACTCTGCGGCCAGCCTTGCTCCACCGTCACCAGGTGACTCGTCTTGGTCACCGACTGGGCGATGGTCTCAAAGTCCAGCGGGCGAATGCTGCGCAGGTTGATCACCTCGGCGCTGATGCCGGCGGCGGCCAGCTGCGTCGCCGCCTCCAGCGCCGTGCCCACCGACTTTGAGTAGCCGACGAGGGTGACGCGCTCGCCCGCCCGTTCAATCTTCGCCTTGCCAATGGGCAGGAGGAAGTCCTTGCCGAGGACGCTGTCCGACACCTCAAAGGGCACGCCGTAGAGGATTTCATTTTCGAGGAAGACCACCGGGTCCGGGTCGCGGATGGCCGCCTTGAGCAGGCCGCGGGCGTCCTCTGCGGAGTAGGGAGCGAGCACCTTCAGACCGGGGCAGTGGGAGTACCAGGCGGCGAAGCACTGCGAGTGCTGAGCGGCGACGCCCGCTGCGGCGCCGTTCGGACCGCGAAAGACAATCGGAACTGAGACCTGGAGAAACAATTTACTTTGAGTAACTGCATCACTTTTCAAGCAAAGCAAAGGAGCTTCTTACCGAGCCGGCACTCATGTAGAAGGTCTTTGCCGCCGAGTTGATTATATGATCAATGGCCTGCATGGCAAAGTTGAAGGTCATGAACTCACAGATGGGGCGCATGCCGTAGAAGGCGGCGCCGACGGACATGCCGGCGAAGCCCGCCTCGGTGATGGGCGTGTCAATGACCCGCTTGTCGCCGTACTTGCGCCACAGGCCCTTGGTGATCTTGTAGGCGCCGTCGTACTGGGCCACCTCCTCGCCGATGATGAACACCTTCTCGTCGCGCTCCATCTCCTCGTCCATGGCCGAATTGAGGGCGTCACGAACGGTCAACTAGGTGAAAAGGGTAAAAAATGTGTGATATATCAGTTTCAGACAAATATTTTTGACAACTCCAAAACTGCACAAACCTGGGCTTGTGAGGTGCTGCTGAGGGCAAAGTTCCGCCGAGTGGCTGACAGCTGTGAGCTTGTCGCCGTCCTCGCCGGTGAACTGTTGCCCACCACCGACTGGACGGCATTTCGGGCTAGTGATCGAACAAACATGGTAGTGATTGAGTCGATTGATGGGTCAGGTGGTTGTGATTTGAGAGGGGATCGTATTTAGTCGGTTTTAAACTAGGAAAAAAGTGAAATTAGTTTAGTGAAAACGATAGGCGAACATTTCATCGCAACCATTTCATCACGAGCCTTTTCATTGCAACTTAAACGTTAGTTGAAGTAATTTTTACGGGTGTCAAAGGGCCTAGAAGCCCCTTCTGCTAAATGGCATGCAATGAAACGGCTCGCGATGAAATGATTGGGATGAAAAGACCTAGAATCGATGAAAACAACAAACTAACTATTGAACAGGACGACTGTTAATAGCAAGATCACTTACTGTATACAGTTAATAGGTAAACAGATGACCTTGTTTGCCTAAATGACACTAGATCAAAGGTGATGAAGGTGAGGTGCTGTTGTGGATGACAGGTGATGGGTGATGAGCGACAGACAGCGGTTACAAAGTTGGTGCTGCTGGTCGTGGTGGTGGTGGTGGTGGTGGTGATGTACAGCAGCAGAACAGTGGTAGCGGACACGAGGAGAAGGAGACGGTGATGAGGTAACGGTGATGGTAGCAGTGCTGATGCCGATGCTGGTGCTGCTGGTGAAGAAGAAGGAAATTTGGTGGTGGTCTGGGATAGAGAAGTGAATCTGCGATCATCGCAGACAGCTGAGAGAGCGGCGGCGGCGGCAGTCACTGCGAGAACGAGTGACTCCAGCAGACTCTAAAGTGTAGAGGACGAGGGAGACACTCTCAGGACACGTGAAGGGAGCGTGGGGAACCGCTGCCTGCCTGCCTGCCTGCCTGCCTGCCTGCCTGCCTGCCTGCCTGCCCTACTGCCATTTACTTTGCTTGAGCATGGGCTGCAGTGCACCTTTCGTTTCCAATGTTTGGGTATACGTTCTGTGCGTGACTCAATCTATGGACGCCACCGCCCTCAAACACCCAATACTTGGACAGTTTTTCTGTATTTACAGTGATGCTCTACTGCCCTCTAGTGATAAGATCAGCCACGAGTAGAGTTGCTGCTGCTGCTGCTTCTGTTGCTGTAAGCGTTTGGAAAAATAGTTTTGATATCCTAATGTTACTAACACTTTCTTTCAATTTATTTGATTGGAAACCAATTTGTTTTTATATTTTAAATGATTTTTGGCAGCAAAACTTTATTAAAAAGGACTACTTTTTAAGTGCAAAAAATAAAATGATTAAAATTTTTCATTTTATTTTCACTTTGTAAAATCGTTATTGTCTAATTCACTTCCTATAAATGGTATCCCAAGCGCCGAAAAGCG